AGAAGAGGTGAACCCGGGTTCCTGTTAGCGGAGTCCACCTAAGCTGACCGCCGCCAGCTGTCAGCTGTCACTCAAGTCAGGTGCGGGTAGTACGAGACCCCGCTGTACTGTCCGTAGTTGGCCGAGGCCGGAAATGGAACTTCCAGACGACCAGGATCTTCAAGCAACATGAGGTAGTCGCCGGAATCTACAGCAACGAAATGTCAACAGGAACGAACGAGAGAAAATATTTATAGAAAAGTTTCATATAAAAATAAACGCTATTAATATAGTAAACTGTGGTAACTCGGAACAGTTCAACTTTTAATTTTCCATCTGATAGTAAGCACCTATACACCTTCGGAAAGTTCTCTGGACCAGTATTAAATGTTGAAAACTAGTACTAGTGAAATAGAGAAATAAATCTAGAAAGTGAACATCTAGAAAATGACCCTGTCTCTAGATAAGTTGTATGAGTGAACTGGTTTGAGAAGCATCTAGTAGGGTCTCTAGAAACGTTGATCAGTGGGGAACTTTATCTAGATTTTTCTAGATCCTAGATACTGATAGTTATACATATATTTTTTTTTTAATTTTTTTTGTGGTTTACTGAACAATAAGGGTGTGGTACACAGTCTGACAAATGTGTTCACCCGCTGTTGTTGTGGACTTGAATATGAACTCTGGGATATTAGGAGTTGGAGGAACTTATATCCAGAGTGTTGTTGTTGGTTAAGGGACATGTCTGTGGACATTGAATTTTTTTTTTTAATAATAAAAATATTTTTGTGTATTTTCTTTAGATTTTAAGATTGGGATGCGCTGTGGTGGACAGTTGCCACAGGTGTGGAGTGGAACACTAGGTCCCTGAGAGGTAGTGTTCTTCCATGTTGATATAATTTTATAATTTTGTTAAATTTTTTAATGACATTGATTTTTTTTTTTAATGTTTTGTGTGATGTGTTTGATCTTTATTCCGGGTGGAATACTGGGTTAGCTGAAGGCTATCAGCTGATTTTAGCTAGTTAGTAATTGTTAGGTTGGGATTTCTCCAGTTATTTGTTACTATATCAAGACAGGTATAGGATATTTTGTCTTCCAGGTAGTTGGAAGGGTACGGGGCTGCATCCAAGTGGACAGTCAGGATTATAGGGACGGTCTCTGTCCTTATGTTTTATGTATTATGACTGTTGTGTTGATAGGTATAAATACATGCTGGGGCATACCTTTTGGGTGTGCCATTATGGTTGTTGGAGTATTGTATGGAATTAGTTAGGATTAGATAATTTCTTTTGTTTTGAGGCATTGGTTGAAAATAGTGTTGGGTTAAAAATGTTGTTTTTGGAGTTAATGGTTAGGGTAGGGCAGGATTTCTGGATAAGAAAAGTGTGTGTAACTTGCTTTACACACAAATTTCTTAATTTCCGAGGAGGGGGAGTTGTAATGATCTGGGGCTCAGATCATTGGTTCTCCCTTCTCCCCTCTTTTCCCTCCCCTTCTCCCCTCCTTTCCTTCTCCCCTCCCCTTGGCCGTCATTCGTCTCCTCCTCTTCCCCCCCCCCTGTCGCCCATTTGTCAGGGTCAAGAGGTTGACCTGAGGGTAGGGTGGTCGTGGATACCTTGGCTTCTCCCACTCAATTCCCCACTCAGATATTTCCCTCTCCACCCCCTCTCATCCCTCTCTGTCCCTCTCAGCAGCGGCCTTCCCCATACCAGGCAGAGTCAAATGTCCCTACTCCTATCTTAGAGGAGACAGGCTTGAACATAAATTATCAGTTTTGTAAACATTGCTCGCAGGTGCCTGGGCTCCATAGACGCGCCTTGTCCCTCTTCTCTTTAGCTGGGGAGAGCTGACTCAATCTTCAGAAATTCATGTAGCTTTCCACGACAGATCAGTGAAGGTGATTGGCCTGAGATAAGGGCCAAGTCCTTATTGGCCCTAGAGAGCCAGACCTCAGGCCTACGTGTTAAATGGTTGGCCAGTGCCAAAATAATGGGTGGAGCCCTGGGGCTGTATTAGATGGTGGGAGGAGTAATCCTTCCCAGCAATAAGTTGGAAAAACTAAATTTCATCAGTGTGTCTTGGGAGTGTATTAGGAACAGGGCCGCAAGCCCGTATCCTCGGGGCTGAGGGCAGCCATCAACATCTTGGCCGTGGTGCGGGTATTTAAGGTATAGTGCACTTGAGTTTTGTGTCCTCGGTAAATATCCATTGTGCCTCTAGGGAAATAGAATAGGTTATGTGTTCAAATTGTCTTAATTTACATGTTTCATAAAATAAATTGTATAGCTTGTCCAGTGGTATTCACTTAACTCCCCTTTGATATATTTTGCTACTTTGTCATTTTTAGGTGTTGTATTGGAAGCCCCCATGTTCTCCTACTAGTAATAGATACTAAAGTTGCCCTTGGATTCAAATAAGTAACGTAAATTACACAAACTAATTTTCCAAAATTTATTACTGAAATTCATATTACCCGGAGTCCCATGGTTACTGATTCCTTGCCTTCCTGGGGGATCGGTGATTGACACATTCAGGTATGGTTGGTCAGGAAGGTGGTGGCAGTGTAAATGTGTTTTGTTATTGTTTTTTTTAACTAATAACCCTTGTCCTTGGTTTATCTTCCTCATTTAATATTCCTCTTATATACGTGGCAGTCCAGTGAGGGGTCATGCTGGACTGTAACAGTGTTAAGCTGGGGTATTGAGTGAAGAAAGACGGAGAATTACAACAGAGAGCGTATAGTACGATTATGAGAGATCACAAGATAACAGGATTAATACTGGGGAACATTGGGTTATTACTATAGAGGCCGCGGTTATTACGGCGAGGGAAGCGGTCGTTACAATATTTGAATCCAAGGGCAACTTTAGTATCTATTACTAGTAGGAGAACATGGGGGCTTCCAATACAACACCTAAAAATGACAAAGTAGCAAAATATATCAAAGGGGAGTTAAGTGAATACCACTGGACAAGCTATACAATTTATTTTATGAAACATGTAAATTAAGACAATTTGAACACATAACCTATTCTATTTCCCTAGAGGCACAATGGATATTTACCGAGGACACAAAACTCAAGTGCACTATACCTTAAATACCCGCACCACGGCCAAGATGTTGATGGCTGCCCTCAGCCCCGAGGATACGGGCTTGCGGCCCTGTTCCTAATACACTCCCAAGACACACTGATGAAATTTAGTTTTTCCAACTTATTGCTGGGAAGGATTACTCCTCCCACCATCTAATACAGCCCCAGGGCTCCACCCATTATTTTGGCACTGGCCAACCATTTAACACGTAGGCCTGAGGTCTGGCACTCTAGGGCCAATAAGGACTTGGCCCTTATCTCAGGCCAATCACCTTCACTGATCTGTCGTGGAAAGCTACATGAATTTCTGAAGATTGAGTCAGCTCTCCCCAGCTAAAGAGAAGAGGGACAAGGCGCGTCTATGGAGCCCAGGCACCTGCGAGCAATGTTTACAAAACTGATAATTTATGTTCAAGCCTGTCTCCTCTAAGATAGGAGTAGGGACATTTGACTCTGCCTGGTATGGGGAAGGCCGCTGCTGAGAGGGACAGAGAGGGATGAGAGGGGGTGGAGAGGGAAATATCTGAGTGGGGAATTGAGTGGGAGAAGCCAAGGTATCCACGACCACCCTACCCTCAGGTCAACCTCTTGACCCTGACAAATGGGCGACAGGGGGGGGGGGGAGAGGAGGAGACGAATGACGGCCAAGGGGAGGGGAGAGGGAGAGGGAGAAGGAAAGGAGGGGAGAAGGGGAGGGAAAAGAGGGGAGAAGGGAGAACCAATGATCTGAGCCCCAGATCATTACAGTATATCCTTTTCCATTTAACCAATTTCGCTCTTTATGAATATTATATTATGTATATTCTTGTTCAGTCTTATGGAATTTATTGTTCTACGATGTCTTCAACAGTGTAGAATAAAATTCTACCTTAATAAATCATTATTATAAATTAAAATCCAGGTATTTTATATGACCAAACAGTCAGAAAACCTTATTTAATACACGTTGCAAATTCATTAATTCCATCACAAATTGTGATCAAATGTGTCATATTTAATGTTAAGGAATTCAGCGCAGTTATACTGATGAATGAAACGTGTGAATAGATTGAATTACAAATATATTAAAGGAAACAATTGCTAATTTTGCGTATTCTCGTATCTTGAATACATCCTAGCTTAGTTCAAAAATAAATATCAACTAAAGGCAGATTGTTACTGTATATGCTAGCCCGTTATATGGACGTTAACCAGACTTCCCCTTCACATATGACTCAACTGATTAGCAATGTTTACAGCAGTGCTTCCCTCTTTTTTATCCTGTTTTCCAATAGCACCTCTCTAAATGCACCACACAACACAACGGTACTGAAACACAAATAATTGTCATCAGAGATGAAACACCTAACCTATCGAACGCCTAACTACAAAATTATAATAGACTTTAATATTACCGTATATTTGATGAAATTTCGTTTTTTGGTATTCAATACGTTACAATTGACGATTGAATTTTTGGAGTCTGATGCAACTTGGACGAGCATAGCCTGAGGATGAGTTGTGTGTCTAGGTAAGGTAATTGTCAAGAGAAACTGCTAAGCTAGAGTGACTATATAACACTTGTAAAGGATATATAAAACCAGTAAAGGAACAATGCCCAACCACTTTGACCATCATAGATCGAACGCCAATCTTGTAAGAAGCAAGGGTGCCGCTGTACCAACCAATCCATTTTTTTTAATTGGATGGATAAATCAGAAGCCACTCGTTTGGACGCTGAGTGAAAACTATAACCCACACTTACAGATCTAAAGGTCTACCTAGCAGAAGAGTTTTTTCACGTTTTACTAAAGACTTTTGTTAATTGTTTATTCCTTATTAACTGTACTTTGTTCGTAGGCTAAATATTCTTTTTATATTAAAAAAATTCGTGTAAAATTCATATTATTGCACAGAAAATTAAAGTTAATTAACACTTCTTTTCAGTGGCTTCCAAGATGAACTCGAAATGTACTTCCAAGACTAAACCTCGGAGGACGGAGCCCAAACAGCCCAATGAGAAATCTCCCAAATCCTCGGATAAAAACACTACCCTACCCTCGGATAAAACAACCATCACACCCTCGGATGAGGCAATTCCCATGCATTCATATGCAACTACTATCCTACCTTCAGAGGAAGCAATTTCGAACTTGGATCTAACAAGGAACTGTGAATTTGATGCTTTGTATAACTATGTGACACAGGCTGGAGAGCTGGTCATTACTGATGTTCTCAAAGTTCTCTATTCTCAGCAGTACATCAAATCTTGTAATGGAAACATGTCTGTATTCGATTATTGCATTACGAATAAGCACTGGAGTCCTGAACGAGCAAAGAGGAAATTTGAATATAGTGAATGTCTGTCACATAATATTAAAAAGCAGAAAACAGTGGATGTACATTTTGCATTCAACGTTATTGTGGAAATATGTGGCAATGTATTTGAGTGGTTGGATCCAGAATGTCGGAGCCAAATCAAGTTAGTAAAGAATTACAAGTACAAGATTTGCAAAAATTATGGGCAAAGTAACAATGAAATTAGAGCTGAGCTACACAAGTTTTGGAAGATAATTAAAAACATCTATACGCAGGTTAGTCAGGAATTCAAAACTGACTTTAAAGAAAGCCTTAGCGAGATATTAAGGATGCTAAAACTTTCCGAAGAAAGTATCGTTCAAAGCCAAGATTTGTCATTAGACAAAAACGTTTTCCATAAATTTTCAAATGACACTGAAGTTCATAAGCTAATTATGGCTCAGAGAGAACTATCAGATCACCACAAGAAGCTACAAGTGGCAAATCCTTTCACCTGGACAGATGATCAGTGCTACCAAAGTTCTAAAGGTGAAGTCGTGGCTAAACTGGTTACAAACGAAATTTACACACCATTGGGTATTGGCGGCACTGAAACAAAAGTTAGCATGAATCAGGTGCTGAAAGCTACCAAGAGGATAGCGGAAGAAGAGGTAATAACTCCAGTTTTGATAATAAATGGCGTTGAAGGTTCAGGAAAGACGACTATCTGCTACAATCTTGTGCAAAATTGGCTTGGAAGATCAGGCATAATTGATGATCTCGATAATTTTGATTTAGTGTTTCTTATTGAACACAGCAAAGTTAAGTCTAAGGTTTTTGAAAATGTAATGAGGGAACAGATGTTGACAAAAACTTGCAGAGATTTTGAAATTGACAAAATTCTTCAGTTTATGAAGAGACTAGATATAATTTTTATTATAGACGGATATGATGAAACTACTAGAGATACCTTTCCCATTGTTGATGAAATATTTGAGCATTTTGGCAACAAACGCATTATTCTGACGACGCGACCAGACTCACTTGGAGCCACCACAACTCTCATATTAAAAAAACATGTTAACTTTCATACTATTGAGGTATCAGAACTTGATGATCTCTCACAAATTAGAATGGGTAAAGCTATTTACAAGCATATGTGTAACAATCGTAAAGCTGAGAGAACACTGAATAAATTTGTTGAGTATCACCATAGAGGTGCTGGGAGGAACATTCTAGGTCATCTGAGACTTCCACTCACTGCTGCTCTTTATATGGTCCATTGGAGAACTGGTAAGATTAAAGTGCAAACAGGAACTGAACTACATGATGCTTTATTCAACAAAAGCACAGAAAAGTTGGAAAATCGCAAAGGCACCACCAATGTAACTGACAAAGACATATTGTATCACGTATTGCCTAAGTTATTAGGAAAGTCAGCATGGATGCTTCTCAAGAATAAAATGTATACTCTGCAAGAAAGCATGGTAGATGAAATACGAGAATCCGTAAAGGGTCTTAATGTTGATCTTATTGACGTGCTACTACCATATCTAACATGTAACTCCAACCACTATTCACAACCTACTACGAGAGAGCTTTCTTTTATGAACAGACCTCAACAGGCATATTATGCCTCTAGATTCTTAACGGAATGCATAACAGAAAAGAAAACTACTGTCCGAGATATTGAACAGCAAGTGAGTAACTGGAAAGACTTTAGTTTTGTTCTTTTATTTCTTATTGGACATTTGACCTCTCATGAAAAAATGGACAAAATGATTGTGAAACAAGTACTAAATATTATCGATAATGCAGGTTTTACCGCGGAAAGTTACAGCTATTGGTGGGACCTCTATGTTGAGAGTAAGGGTGATGAAACTGTTACAGATTTCATTGTCGAAAGATTTTTACCTAAATCTCATTGGGTAGTAAATGACAAGACTGTTGTTCCTGCTCTTAAACTCCTTGGGTCTTGTCCAGTTAACCTTAAAAGTTTGAAGATTGACATTCCTAATACCATCGATCCTTTTGATATCCCAGAATTCCTAAGTACCATGCAGAGTTTTCCAACCAAATTAGAAGGGAGATATGGGAAGCACAAACAAATTGAAGTAGAGTTGCACTTTTGGCATCATGATGAAACAGGAAGTACTGAGCCGTCTGACAAGTTTCTCCGTACCCTACACCCATGGGGCATGTTGGTGAACTTCACGGGTGAGCTTGGGGAACAGGAAGAAGGAAAAGAGTTGATCTGTAAGGCAAATAGTGCCAGAACTTTACGTGTCCGACTGAAAACGCCTGGGGCGCTCAGAACTTTAAGAAGCTTCACCAGACGCGGGTGTGAAGCCTTCCAGATCGTTCGCATCACCATTGCCATCCCTGAAGAATGCGACCCAGCATCTTTCACAGAGCTTAACTGTCAGGATCTAGAACTTAATTTTAAAGAAATATCTGTTGAAAATAAGGAATGGATAATTAAGGCCATGAAAAATATTGGTGGAAGGTAAGGTAAACCTTTTCCTTATTTTGATTAAACATTCAATTAAGTATACATGTATCGTTTCTCACTTTATTGTACATGTTGCAGAATGTGTTGAAAATAACGCCACCTGCGAAAATTCATACAGTACAGTAATTTAATCTAGTTATTTTAAACTACCTCGTACCCGGCGTTACTAGTTTTGCATATCTATAATATAATGCCTATAAAACATAGGCATATCTATACATCACAATCTGCATCATGGTAAAACTTTGCAGTAATACTGGAATTTACCTACACCAGAATCCTGATTGGATCCTGAATCCAACATCATGGCAATAGATCATTCAGCCCGTCCTATGGAGCGTTCACAATGTCACTAAAATTCCCGAACCTAGCGAATAAAATAAATAAATAAATAAATTTGTATTCAAGAAAAGTACATGCATAGTTGATTTACAAACATCATGTTGGATTTATAGATAGAGTTAGTACATACAATACCTCAAGCCACTAATACGCATAGCGTTTCGGGCAAGTACCCACGAACAGAAAGATGACCAATCTAAGTGATTAAATAACAATTTAATTCATTGTGTACATCTTCATTACACATAATTTATATCCTAGAGGAACACAAGTCACATCGTACATTAGACTTTTTCCTAATACATTTTAAACACTTCTCCAACACAATTTGGCATACCATAATAAACCACCGTCAAAACTCTAAATTCGTGGGTTTCTTAGCTTATTCAAAAACCTGTAGTCATGGAAGTTTTCTGTTATGAAAAGCAAGATGGTGAACGTGTTAAGATACTTGTAAAAAATCTATACGTTTAGATTTTTTTTACAAGCGAGTACAGGAACAATACTTCTTACTCTTGTTAGCAGGCTGAGAGCTTTTCTTTCCCATAGCTCGTGAGCCTTACCCTGGAACATGACCTGCCAATCAGTTAACAACCAGGGACCCATTTACTGATGGATGAACAGGGGCGAATAGTTAAGGATTGATGCTCAGACTGAATTCTCCCTGGTCAGTACTCGAAGCTAGTCTGATATTTAGTGAGATTGGAAGTAAATAAGTAATTATCAAAGGCATCATTGGAAATTAGTGTAATTTTCCATTTCATGTAAAAGGGTTATGGGGCTCAACCCCGCCTGTGAGCATCCCTGGACAACGACCAGTCTCCCCTGCAAAGTTTGATGAGGCTAGCCCCAAGCAGCTGGCCCTAACCTCAAACAAACACACTTTATATTTATATATAAATTATTAAATAAACACTTTTGGAACCTGAGGTGGCGAAATTTATTTACTTTATGACTTTCTTAATTTACACAAAGAAAAGGTACCAGTATATGATACCTTTCGATAAACGAAAATTAATATTTTTTTACAACAACGCAGTTTAAGGAATTTGAAGCAATTTGGTAAATTGTGTTAATGCCTACTATAGATAATCTACGCAACTATAAGTTGCTTTGTTGATAAAATTGCAGAAATGATGTATGTATGTTTTATGAATCTGAGTATTGCGCATAAACATCGACACAATGAATCCTCGGCAATATAATTGTAAAGATATATCCAATTCTGTCATAGCTCAAGAATAGGCTTTTATTATATTTTAGTATATAAACATCCTGCTCATTTTTTGGCAACACCATAAATTATAATGATTTGCTCATTATTTATATACTGGGCCCTTTTATTGAGACCAATTATAATATTAATTACATTTAAAAAAATCGTAAGAATAGTTATTAATAAATGCACTTACAAATCAACGTGTTTGTATGAGGCACTGTATTTTGATTCAGATCTGTATTAAATGCGAAATTCATGGTGTCGTTACATGCATTAATTATAAATAAAGTCCGGTGATCGTTAAAAAGTTTAAATATTAATGAAATTAAATTGTTCAGCTTTAATTAACATTAATCTGGTCGATTAAAAGTACTTTATGAAAAATATATCGTAATCCCATTACTAATTAACAAATATTTACATCTAGCAATCAGAAATAAAGAACTTGTACTGTAAAATATTGGTTTGCTATAGGAGACTGATCTCGAACCCATACTGTTATGCGATTATTTCATTAGTGACAATTGTTTGCAGAAATGGAATCAAAAGGGCATATTTCAACACCTGCACCTTGGACATCAAGGCCCAAGCAAACTTCCTGAAGGAACTCTCTGGGATTATAATTGAAAAATTATCAATCTGCACCATCATGGATGTTGATAAAAGCCAACAGAAAAAGTTACAAGCCAATGCTACGTTTACTGTCAACTGGATATAATGCAGAGTACTTCCTGGAGGCCCAGTACCACACAACCCTCAAAGGATCTGTATGCCATCATTACTTAAGTCATCTTCGTGGATATTGATGAATACCAAGAGAAAAAGTTGTAAGCCAGGATTTACTACGTTTACTGTCAACTGGACAGTAAAGTACCACGCACCGCTCTAAGGGTCTGTTATTTATTTATTTGTTTTATTTATTTATTTATTTTATTTATTTATTTATATACAAGAAGTTAATTTGCATCTTCGTGGATATTGATGAACACCAACAGTAGCGGCTGAAAGGACTAATTGCTACTTTTTTATTTTACTGTTGACTGGATATTTAGTTAAATATCATCTGGATTACAATTAATTAACATTGTCATTTCCAGACTTTGCAAATATAAAGTTAGATATGTGAATACGTAATATCCATCATCGTGAAATGTCAGGATTTACTTGTACTGCTATCAAATATTTATTTTATGGAGACATGTTACTATTACGTATGATTTTTGTTACGGAGTTCTGTGACTTCTGAAGCAGATCACTATTATATATTTTTATTTTCATATTCCCAATTCTAAAAATATTGCTTCTCTTATCTAGGTGTTTAAATTATATATTTATTTAATTATATATAAATATATAGATATATAATTGCATATACCTATTTAGTTCATTTTATACTGGATATTGCACATGATAAAATATTGTGCGTTTGATGGAAAAATATTTAGAAGTGACTTACTGATTGATACAAGGTAAAGCATATATATAGCTGTTAATACCCAATTATTTTTGACGTCTTCAAATGTATTCATGTTTTCCAAGTTACGGTAATTGCGTGTTTATCTGGTAAATTGTTCCATTTATTTATAATCTATTAAAAATGCAGTGTTAATATATCTGATCTAAACCTAAAGTGTTAAGTTTGTTTTTATTGCCCAGTGTAGTGGTGTACAGACATATGTACACTTCATATACAGTATATGTTGCCTGAATGCTCTCGATTTTTAAGAAAATTTCTGGTGATGGGAACATGCTTTTTCACTCAATTCTTTTGGGGTTCTAAGGCCAGTGCTGGGATATGCAGTGTTCCTATCGTGAAGCTGGGGTCCTGGGAGCTGTATTGGAACATACATAATTGTTATCATGAAATTGGGGTCCTGGGAGTGTGTTGGAACATATATTATTGTTATTATGAAACTGGGGTCCCTGGGAGTGTGCCAGAACAGATTTTATACCTATTACGAAGTTGGGGACCTGGGATTTGTGCCCTCATGAGGTGAGACATTACTTCTCTCATGTCAGCATTATAAACGGGGTATATGAGCTATAGGGAAAATCAAATGGGTATGCAAATAAAGTATAATCACACAAGGAAATGTAGAAATCTCTTAGTACAGATAAAAGTTCCAAAGGTTGCATATTCCACCCAGAACTAAAATCTCAGTAAAAAAAAAAATGCTATGCCAGAGGAATCAGGTGAATAAAACCAAATGCCATTATGAAAATAACCACAACTCTATATACCAGGGCATTTTTTTTAGCAAGAGAGAGAAGAAATGACAGGTAGAAATGACAAGACTTTGAGATATTGAGATATATACAAGAGTTGTTACATTCTTGTACAGCCACTAGTACGCGTAGCGTTTCGGGCAGGTCCCTGGAATACGATCCCCTGCCGCGAAGAATCGTTTTTTCATCCAAGTACACATTTTACTGTTGCGTTAAACAGAGGCTACAGTTAAGGAATTGCGCCCAGTAAATCCTCCCCGGCCAGGATACGAACCCATGACATAGCGCTCGCGGAACGCCAGGCGAGTGTCTTACCACTACACCACGGAGACTCTACCAACATCTCGGTTAAATGCTAAACAAGACACAAAGATAGTGGCAATGCCTTTCAGAACCACAAATATTAACACTCATCATTCGAATAAAATGTCCAACCCTTCCACAAATATGATATTCATATTTGCCAACATTTCAGGGTATCAACATGTAAAATAGTCTATTTTATAACGACTCCTAAATGAGAAATACAGTGCTTGCAGCCCAAACTGAAACTGTTATAAAGGATTACTTTGATAGTGAAATTTGAATACCAGAGCACAACCTTTTCAGATGTGACAGAAAACACAAGATACAAACTGGGGTCAGCCTGTACATCAAAGCCATACTCATCTGCATTGAGCTACTCACCACAGCAAACGATATGGTGGAAGTGCTTATAATCAAAACAGATATCCCAAATGGTTATTGTCCTTGTATATATATATATGTCACCAGATGCAAATCTTCAGCAGTTTAAAGATCAACTTATGAAAATAGAATGCTGCTTAGAAAACCTCAGAATCTCAGCCCTAAACATTATTTTGCTTGGTGACTTCAACTTACAGCAACTAAAATGGATAAAACGGTGGGAAAATAGTTTTATCAGAGGGAATCGCAGGAAATAGTCTAATTGAACAATCACAAAGAAATGGTCTCTTTTGGATGTGTGATAGATTTGCATTAAACCAGCAAATACTGTAGAATCAACCAGAAAACACCTTAGATCTTATTTTTACAATGAATGGGATAGGAACATAATGATTACAAATACATGTTACTCAGATTAGAACCTAATCAAAGTTCAAACTATCATGGACAACAGTCCTGTGCAGCCAGTCTCAAATCTAAGAGGACAGTTCAGCCAATTTAATTTTAATAATAAACTGATAACGGGGAAACTAACAAACCAAAATCTCACAGAAATAAGCAGGGAAGAACAGTTAAATGGTGCAACCCCATCCCAAGAACAACAATGAAGGCTATGTAGGGAAATAGAAACAATTGAGCTGATGTTTCAAGAATCATAAAAGGAGAAGCAAAAAAAAAAAAAAGAGCAAAAAACCATCAGTGAAAAAGAGAGGAGCCCAATATACCTTTTCTCCTTTGCAAAAATCTAGAACAAAAACCACCAAATCTAGCATTGGACCATTTAGCCAGGAAGATAGGACTTTCACAGATGAAAACAAAGAAATTAATTAAATACTAAGGATACAGTACAATTCTGCTTTCAGTGAATTCCTGAACACAATGATATCTAGTCTAGATAGAACACTATCTATCAATATCACAGTAATAATACCAACATTGAATCATATATCAGATGTCACCCTAACACCACTGGATAATAATGTAACCATAGACAGCATGCCCATGTACTCTGCACCAGGACCAGATTCCTGGAATTCTAAATTCGTCAAAAACCATAACAAATTATCACAATCCCTAGGCATTATTTGGAAATGGAGTCTAGATACTGGTGTTAGCTCCAATATACTTAAAAGGTGCTACAGTATATACAATGTTCTGCAGAAGACTGTATACAGCACCTTGAGAAAGGATGTAGGTTACATTTCAAAATTTGGTTTTTAATATGCACACTTAAACATAAATTGGGTCTTTCCTTCACCTTCAATAATAACGAAGATGATGATGATAATGATATTATTATTACATTTATAACAAAAATACACAGCATCTGAATACAGTGAATACCTGTACTAAGTAGGCATTTTATTTTGACAAAGCCACTAATTATGTGCAGCGTATATTTTTTTACAAAATTAGGATATGTTATTCCTATCATTTTGGACCCAGAGCATTTTGTGCATTCACTATTTCATTTTCACTGTTAAAAGAACATTTTTATGATAGTTTCAAAATTTAAATTTATTGTATTATTATACTATACTTATAAGTAATTACTGAAACAAATTAAACCCAGAAGGCTACAATGAACCATCTGTGCCACAGAATATTAAAAAGTTCTTACATACTTTCAGAATGCCAGTACGAGAGCAGAAAGACATAAGACGTATTATGTGAAAAGAATCTGATTCGCTGTTGATTTTATTGAGGGACACATGACTTGAGGTCAATGGGAAGGTTAAACTTCCAATTTTTCTGAGAATCGGGATAATCTATAATGTGTCTTGACTGTTAGCAGAACAATGCGGTACTGAGAGTAAGATGCAAGTCTGTTTAATTAAATGTTCGAGAGTTAATCATGCATGGAAAATACATTAAATTAATATAGCCAGAGACATTTCACACTTCATTACAATGACGGGAGAAAGGTCACCGAGACAGGTCTCATTTGAAAGTACAGTATGTAATTTATTATTCCTAATAGTAAACTATTTATCACTCAAATGATTGTTGTTTATGTAATGAATGACTGTTGAAATCTGGCCAAGAAATTCGTTTCTGGAAGATAGAACAGGCACAAATGGGCACTTTAGTGACAAAATCTCCAAGGCCAGTAGAGTCAACACCACTGTGAGTGGGATCCCAGCTAACTTGACTAAAATCTGGTAATCATGAAATACAACCAGTGTTGGAGCTCAATCACTACAGGAAGAGAGGTTAAAAGATTCCAGGGCCATATGAGTACTGTATCAACTACATGAAAAAAGAATTATTGAAACATTAAAAGTATCAAGACTCAGTGCATACAAAATTCCAGTGTTGTGGTTGGATTGGATGGTGGAGCGACTGCCTAACTTCTTGCAGGTTGCCATTCAATCCCTGACCATTGAAATGGTTGGGCACTATTCCTTTCCCTCATCCTATCCTAAATCATTCAAATATCCCTTCTGAGTGCTATCTAATCATAATGATTTGATACTTTATCAAAATTACTTTAGTTTTGTGGTAAAACTGCTCATTGAGAAATCAAAACTGGGGAAATACAGCTCAAAAAGTTTTAATTAGTTTTTTTTTTAGTGAAGTCAACACTGACTTAAACCCTTTTGTAAATAAAGCAATAGCATGGCAGAGGATCTTCTTTGCTTCTGTTTTCAGAGATTGAAATTGTTTTTTTGCACGTTAGTAAAGTTTCGTGTTTGTTTCTTGAGCAGCTTTCCTACCTTATCTCTAGTTACTCAAAAGTTTTCTACAGTATTTTGTACTTGAAAATCGTTATTGCGGCTAGTTCTTTGAAAATCGTATTCTGCACAAACACACCTAGGAACTGTTCATTTCATGTTTCACACATTTCCTTACCGAGTCTGTCCCATTTGTACTCTGAATTTGGACTTTCTCTTGCAATTTGCATTTCATGAACTTAATGGTTCATAGTTCTGTTTTACATTTGTCCACTATTTCTTTCTCAAGGTTTCATTCTATCTATTCTCACTACTGAATACTGTAATTGTTTCATGCTTGTTTGTGGTGCTAATATATTTGAAAGTTTGGCTTCTTTTTAATCATGACAATTTTTGTGTCTTATTATATTTATTATTTATTTGTATTTCATGAAGCAAAATTAATATTTTATCCTATCATGTGATCTACCACCAAAAGAACCTGCCTATAGTTTTCTCCCTCAGTACATCTCAGGATCCCTTGAGAAAACAGAATCCAACACCTTAAAAATAATTTTTCAGAAAGGGCCATAACACCAAATGAACCAGGTCTATTAACTTCCCCTATGCTCAAAACTTTCTTAAACGTTCCCAAGATTAAATATCTTGGGAACTCATTTTAATAATTACTTTGCCTAATGATCTAGATTTTACTATCTCTCTAGAATCCTGACATTTTTCTGAAAAATTAAAAATTTGGAGGAGAGATCTGGTGGCAATTACTTGATCTGTTTAGAGGGATCTGTTACAGGTCTAGATATGGGAAATGCCACCGTTTTATCTTGAGATACATTATGTTATTGTGATTTCAGTGTTTACTTGATGGGAGGGTTTGATGAAAACCATTACCCGCTTGCACCAGAGTGTATGCGGGTTACATGTAAAACCTGGATTGGCTACTTACTTGGTGCCTCCACTGTTAGTGGATCCAGACAAATTTCAGATTAGTATACTGTGGTCCATGGGTTATGTATAGCATAACTTTTAGTATGCCGTGATTCATCCGATATTACCCAGGAGATTGGCTTCATCCCCCATCTTGCTCCAAAATTTCTCTCATTCTGGAGATGTGTTCCAGTAAATTTTAGATTTTTTCTAATCTATTGTGACTAGATGTATACTGTAGTATAAAAAATAATTCCAGTACAAAATGTTTTGTAAGGGACAAGAAAAACACTTTAAATCAGAAAATGAAAATACATACACCTTAAATCACAATTGGCAATACATGGGTCTTGAGTGATGGAAGTAGTTGGCTGAGGTGATATCAGGTTGGGCCTGATACCCAATATGGTGGCTGTAAGCTGTACCCACACTGTGTTCACATATTTAGAGATACGTGAAGATATAGAATGAATAATGAAGTGATTTTTTCCAATTTTTAAATCAGATAACATTTTAGTCGTCACAGCGATCACCATATAACCAAGGATTATGTCAAATGCATCAGATTGCTAGTGTTAAAACCTTATACTGTACTATGCATATCTTGGTGCAAATATGTGGTTTGCACCAAGTACAAATCCTATATACCAAGGTGTCATATTAGGGTATGAAAATCGATTCCCTGAAGAATTTGTTTAAAAGCCGTTTGACATTCAATTAAAAAATCTCAAAGCCAAAATACAGAATATAAGGAGTACAATCCCACCAACTTGAAATATGTCCTAAATTTTATATTAATTTTTTTTTAATTATCAGGAGAGCACGCCAAGCCATTACGACTTTATAGCACTTGGAAGGGGGTCAGGATTAGGATTTGGGATGGGATGGGGGGAAAGGAATGGTGCACAACCACTTGGATGGTCGGGTACTGAACGCCGACTTGCATGAAGCGAGACTGTCGCTCTACCGTCCAGTCCAAGTGGCTGGACATATTATTTTAAAATAATCCCTGTACCTCTCACAATTTTGTGAGATTTCTCCGTTTCATTTCTCGAAAATCTCAACACAAAAAACAACCAATTTTGTTTATTATTAGAAATACACAAAATACCTATTTTGTGTATTAAAAAATACACAAAATTTATTTGTACATTTTTACGTGTACAAAATTTTATATTAACTAAGCAGTAAAACATGTCTAGTGAATGTCCCCCCATATCAAGAATGGACATGGACCCAACAATAAGCACTGCAACTCTAAAACCTATACTGAACTGTCATTTAATATGCCAATAATGTACTTTTTTAATCAAAAGCTTTCAGACTCAAGTGGCTTTCTATATCTGTTCAACCTTTTATATACAACACTTATGCAGCTAAAAAAATAATTCTTCGAATTGCTAAATTAATGACCACAAGAATCTCTTGGGAATTACAATCATTGTACAAAATTCATATTTTCCTAAAAATATATTTTAGAACAAAATCCTAATATCAAATACAACTCATCTTGATGACATTGACAAGCCTCCCCTTCTTTGCATACAAACATTCTATGCGAGATATAACAAAAGACGGAAGGTTTTAAAAAATACAACGAACATGTTCCATTGGATTTTAATAAAATTGGGCCATGACTGGCAGGTAAAATCATTAACATTTGAGCTGAATGCAAACTATGGTAAATACATGGGATACCACAGTCAGTGCTTGTATGTAATATTCTCTGATTAATAAGAACAAATTATTAGGACATTTAAAATCACAATAACTAATACCACTTACTGTACTCAAGTTTAGATATCTTCAAGGGGAACAGATGACCAGTTAATTATTAATTAGCAAATATCAAAACATCTGATCAAATTGGGTAACCCACACTAGACAAAAATTTTCATAAAAAATATACAACAATTATGCTGCAATCAATTGAGAAAGCCTTTAGCAATGAAGATAAAATTTATTCCCCCAAAATGTTGACAGGTCAACTTTATTTCAACAAACTGTCACTATAATCTCGAACAAAAAATATGCTTCCGAATTTTAAACAAACATCTGATACCTTGACAATAGATATTTTATGCTAGCTCTTCACATGATTTTTTATCCAGCAGTAGATATTACTTGGTAACCATATACTTAATGATCCTTTATGCACTAAATGGTTTTGTATAAAAAAAAAATCCAACGAAGTAAAAACCTATTTTTTTAAGAAGTTGCAAAACAAAACCATATTTAAGTAAAACGTAGAATTTGATCCATTGTGATGGACATCACACAACCCAACTGGCTGTATGCATAAAATTATTTCACCTAATGATAAATGTAGGACGAAGTACGGTATGACTAAATGCATAAACAGTAAATACTGTATAGTCCGTGCAAAATAAATTTTTTATACAGAATCAGTACAAATTCCATTTCAAGTAATGGTATGTATCTAACTGAAACCTTCAATCACTTTAATTTAATCAAAGTAGGTAACAGAATTTGTCTTTTTACCCACTAATAATTCAAGCTTCATGATATAAAAAAAAACAAAAAAAAAAAATAACTACAGTATTTTGTCACACCTTTTTACTCTAGCCTTTTGGGGGTCTCCCATTTCTCAAGGCAGTAGCATTGAAGAATATTTCCCATGCACTTAACCTATATTCAACCACTCCAAGTAAAGCTCTTATTGTTACATTTATAAATAATGTACGATACTAATAAAGACAATCATAATGTCGGATAATTGCCAAGAGACTTGGGCAAAAACAAGCCGTTTACTATTACTAAAGTAGTAATCTTGTTTGTTTGCCTTGTCGTAAATTTAGTCTAACAAAATTAGGGTATTTTTTCTTTACCATGTCCAATTCAAGGACTTGTGATATTGAGACTTTCCATAGAGGAATACAGTATTCTTACTTCTTACCTTAATACTGGCACACAAAAAGGGAAGACCAATGTTTCTTAACACAAACCCACAATGCTCATAGGGTCACAAAGCCTTATTAAATAGTGTGAATTTAATTTTTTAAGAGGTCCATATTTAGGATAAATTTCAGGGCTAAATTATTTTAATGGATTTTAAACACATTTTTAAATACCATGTACTATACATTGAATTCTTCATATCTGTTGCAGATAACTTTTTTAATATCACTGGTGAGAGTTCACCCTCATTAAAGAAGTATCACTTGCGAGGCACACGCCTTGCAGAATTTTCTAAAATATTAAGTTACGCACTTAAAAAAAAAAAATGCATTTTTGTTTCAAACCTTCCTGCATCTCCAGCAAAGGAGCTATATTGTTAATTTACAATAACTGTTAACATTATTCTACTAACAATCTAGAGGTCACTGGTGATGTATAAAAAATCTTGTCTGGTTGCAGACCTACAAACTATATTACAACCACTGTGTAGACTCACTTCCAACTGGCTCTATAACAAATATATAGTAAAAGCTACCCAAACACCTTAGCACAATATTAAGTACCATCAAGGGAAGAGTAAAAGCCTCATCATGATGCCCATCTTCAATCACACCAGGATCAAAGATAAGCAGCCTGAGCTGCTTTACCACTTCCAAGCTTTCTCCAGATGAAAGGCCCGCACCATTCCAGAGCCACATTGTGTACACTATATGAACAGCATAAAGCTCAAACAGAACTGTATGCTCCTTTGGGTGAAATTTAACTAAGTGCTCAGTATCTTCACAGGCATGAAATATTATGGTGCTATCAAAATATACTGCAATCTTAACAAGTTAGAATCATTGGGTTGGGTTATCAAAAATTTGGAACAAATGCAATTATATCTAGTGCCAAGTCCCTGGTGTCTTCACTATGATAATGCAAATGAATGTCTTCCCAAATTTATGGAAATAAATTTCAGTTTACAGTCAGGAGTCTAAAAGAAAATGTACCTTCGTAAGAGACATTGTTTTCAAGCTCCTCACTACATCACTTTCAATGAATGATTACCAGGATACGTAGATGTTTGCTATTCCTTCTTGAACAAATGAATTCTAAATGAGCTCTCAAATAGAACTCTAAAATGTTAAAGCCATACAACCAGCTCTTACATTAAACCTTTTTAATGAAGCCAGAATTATTTTTTTTAATCAGTTTAGCCTCTTAATGACTACTATATAAAACTATAATGTTCAATTATTAAATTTTAGGAACATTAAATTACTATACAAAATAAGAAATGTAATATATTATAGTACATCCCAAGTTCGATTCCAGGTTAGGACATAGTTGGGCTAGTTAGTGTCCTTACACCTAATGCTTCTGTTTACCTAGAAGTAAATAGGTACCTGGGAATTAGTGAAATAAGGGGGAAAGTACCTAAAGTATATATATATATATACATAGGCTCCTGTTCCTTACAATGGGAATTGCATGTATATTAACTGAGTGAAAGTACATTTGTACAGTACTGTATATCGCCTGATCTTGTGAAGTGGTAGGTAGGTTATTGCTGAGGATGACTACTGGAATGAGGTGGTGCTTGTTGATTTGTGATGCTATCTAATGTTTTATGAATGATATAGTAAACAAACAAACAAAATGCTTTTCTTCAGTATCTATAATCTTCTTTTATTGGGGTGACGCCACCCCACCACATGAAAATGCTTAAGTGCATAATGATAATGCATAAATTATGAAAATTAACCAAAGGGAGCAAGTTTAGTTCAAACTGAAATATGACTGATCGGAATCAGAAGTTACCATATATCTTTCAATCATTAAAAGTGAGAGCACAGGGAAGACTTTTTATAAGACAACATAAGAGAGAATTAGTGTGAACTACCTGAGTATAAACAGTGATTTTAGGTACTGTACCTAAAACCTGGTAGTATGCTCTTAGTTTCTCTGCATGACATATGAAATGAACTTTCATATTTACAGATTTACAAGGTAAAATTAATTATATACTGTAGTTAATCAAAGCAACAAGTACCATAGAAGTACTTTAGCTTGATAAATGAGTTACCACTGACAAATTATATTAATTTTCCACTTCTCTATTCGGGATATGTGCAACAGAGAGCAATGAGCTCTGTCAAATATAATGTTACTGCAGGTTTTTAGGTCAACATGATAACTGCAAATACATTATTTCTATTTTGTACATGTATGTGGTCAAGTCCATAAAGTAAGTAATTTTTTAATAATTTATCAATGCAGCCATCAATATGCAATGTGATTAAAACTAAGGCATATCAGGTTTTAAACATACATATCGATTACAAAATGCACCAATTATATATTTCGCTTGTCAAATGTCTATGGAAATAATGACTGGGTTCACTGCCCACCTCAGCATAATAAGCTATAACACCTGTTGGAAACAACATGATTCAAACAGGTTACTGGTTGATGAGTTCTACATAATTTGCTGGGAACAGGCCAAACATGCCATCAGGGCCAACGCCTTGCCACCAACCCTCATCTATCTGATCGATGTTGGTGATGATCTCTGCAGGATCAAAGGTTATCTCGGTGTCATCAGCTGCAAAAGAAGGGCATCAAAATGCTAACATATAAATACATAAATTACACATAGAACAAAATGAATAATGAAACTGTAGAAAGAGTATCTGACAATGCGCTTGTGAAAAACCAAATGTAAATCATTTCACTGCATAAAACAAACGCGGTGAAATGTATTCCACCTGGAATACAAAAATTTAAAGTGACAAGATATGGGTGACCTTACTATACTAAGTATAGTATACTAACTATACAGTACTAAGATACTATATAGTATATAGTATCCAACTTCCCTTCTTGTAGACACACTGCATGAATTTTGCTGTGGAGATTTAGTCACGATGCTACAGAAAGGACACAATGCAAAGTCAATGCCCCAATACTTCACATCTGTCTTATAGCATCTTGGGTGGCATAGAACAATGGGCAACATGATTTAGTATACATGTGGACAAAAAAAAGAATTGATAATGGGAATATAAATTAGGTTTTAAAATTTTTAAATTGAAATAGAACTCATAACAATGGATTTAATTACGAAAAACATTTATACAGAAAGATTATAAGTACACACTGCTTTGATAATAAGATTTTTTGGATAAATGGAGCAAAGTACATACTAAGTAATGTTATACAATTAATTACCTACCTGAAATAACGTTAACAGGCAGACAAAGTGTTAACCAAAGTGTAAAATAGCTACAGGGATAAGAGCTATGCTTGTGGTGTCCCATTTTCCCTATAATCTTTGTCTTATGTTTTGAAGCTTCTGATGATTATAGTATACACTATCAATTAATACCTTGCAAAGTTCTAAAACTAAGGTTGATATAAAAAAGTGAGTATAATTACAACCAGCCTCACTTGGATCAATACGATGACTGATGCTTTTACGTTTTTATATGTTTAGGTCCACTTATGTACAAATAACTTTATACTATACAGTACTTATATCTTTATCCCTTGTATTTTTACAGGTGAATATTTTGATGATAAGGAAGACTTTTCTCACAAGGGTAATACATTGTCATCTCTACTGTTCTACTACTGTATCATTTCCTTCACAGTACTAAAATAATTCTGTGCACTTATCAGTATTTGGTAGTATAGTTAAAATGATGTATCAGATATTTAGATTTGTTAACTACAGTTTTGCTAGAAATCCTAGAAACAGGCTCATAATTAATACTACACTAATGAATACCTAATTATATTCCCATAACACTGAAAATCTTTTATTCTTAAGCTTTTTATGTACTGAAAAAGTGACTAAAAATTTACTTACCGGCTTGATAATCATACAGTGCCCGGGCACACAACCCATGCTCAGGAAGAATCTGATATTCCATTCCCTGAAAAGAAAAAAATCCACATTTAGAATCAAATCATTTTGCTAAATGGCCATGTTTCTTAGATGTGATATTTTACATTTGCTAAAAGTTGACAAGAAGCAGACCCTCATCAACTGATTTAGTCAAGAAACATTCAAATTTTCCAACTTCCAGGATCAAGCTAATTCAAAAGCCTAAAATCTAATTGTCATGAAAATGTTGTACGATCAAGATTAGTGCCGATATATTGTCCGAGATTACCTAACTATGACCACCTGTGTATGCAGCGGTGCTAGGGAAGGAGGGATGAATACTCACAGTGGTTATCAACAAGTGTTAAGTGCCTAGAAGGAAGGAATTTTTAGGGGTAAGCGCCAAGCCACCACGACTATATAGCACATGGAAGGGGTCAGGATAAGGATTTGGGATGGGACGGGAGGAGGGAATTGTGCCCAACCACTTGGACGGTTGGGGATTAAACGCCGACCTGCATGACGCGAGACTGTCGCTCTACCGTCCAGCCCAAGATAGTGTGATTACTATGGTGTGCCTAAAGCAACACCATAGTATTCAGAGTGCCAGATATAGATCATGTGTATATGATCACAGATATAGATCTGCCAGATATAGGTCATGTCTGACTCAACCTGCTGATGCAGTGAATAAGAGAATCTGTTCAGCAATATTTATTAATGTGGTGCTAACATAAATGGATCCCATTGATGAGGAGGACAAACTTACCGTACATATGAGGAATGTTGTTGTTTAAGATTCGCTACTTGGAACAAAATGTTCCAAGTAGTATGGGCTAAGGCGAGCCTGTAGTACACTTTACATATGAGGAAGGAGGGATTCACTGATACAACCATGTAAACTTACAACACTAGTTTATTTACTAAAGAAAACACACACACATATTTACACATGGTTGGGAGATAATTGTCTTTATATTACAGAGTGTTGTATAAGCAAGTAATGAGAGACCCTAGCTTAGCATTACAATATGCACAATCCACTAATAACAGCTGCCTGACAGTTTGACTAAAACTGCCGTTTTAGTCAAAGGACAATTAGGAGCTCTAATAATGCTTGGGAGAACAGTAATTTGTATCCACATAAATTCTGGTGTGTGTTGGAAATAATCCAGTCTCACTGGGTTACACTTAAGTACCACAAAGATATGAGAACATGTACGCAAATAAACAAGGGTACTTACTTGACCAGAAAACATGAAAGGGGGCAGAACAATTGGCCAGAGAGCATGTCACTTTTGAGAGGAGTAGAGTGGCCACGGACGTGACATCACGACGAGTCTAGGGTGGTTTGATGCTGTGCAAATTACCCAACTTGGCAACTTTTTGAGAGAAGGATAACTCTTTTGGATGCCTATATAGAGCACTTTTAGTGCACATTCCTAGTATCAGAATGGGCCGAGATGGAAAGGGCTGTAGCATTTGTCTCTTAACCGGTAAGGCACTAAACATTTACCACCAGCTAGACAGAGGTTGGAGAGGTGACTACATCACTCAAGATGGCTCTACTGCATGGATTCATCAAGATCAGTCCTGACAACATGCTAGCAGTATTCAGGAAGGCAACACTAAAGGATGGGAAATCTCATCCCCTCGTTTATCCAATGTTTGAAGATGTATCTCAACAGATGGCGCAAGCTAGCTGACACTCCACATGGGAAATACAGTTTGCTGACTTGATAGTACAGGAACAATTTCTTGAAGTCCACCTCTCTGGGTGTACAATACTCTATCCACTCTCACCACACACCGACAGATACAAACAGTTTTGAAAGTTCAAATCTGAAGAAGCGTCTGTAGGTATTATTGTGTAAAGATTGAGAAAGCATTTTACTATTGGTAGTAGCATTGTAAATAGCATGAAGAAATGTTTCATTACTCTGAAGTACTTCTGTGCATATAAAAATATACGAAACAGTATATAGTAGTAGAATGACGAAGCAGAGAACAGAATACAAATGAAGAGACACACCACTAAAGGAAACAGCCAGCAAAGGTGGGTGATCAATTTGGGCCAATAAGTATATGGGTATAAGGAAATTAAACAAAAATCATGCGTCTTGTTTCTCGAGTAACCTGTTCACACAATTCCTAACAGTAATATAGGTATGTACTGTATTTATTATTTTCATCATGATATTTGATATTACAAATAAATTAATACTTTTAAGTGATCACATGAAATTTCTTTCTTACAAAAGTGTTTGTTGTTACCGTTACTTTTTTTTAAATTTGTATACATTATAAGTAATTATTTGTCCGATTACCATATGTTTGTAAACATTATATGCTAGATTAGAGATCAATTTAAATTTAAAAATTAAATATATCTATATCTAAGGTTTTACACTTACTACTTACATCAACTTCGTATACCATGCCAACAGCAGGAGTGGTGCCAGGAGCCCCTGATGTGCTCGAGTTAATTTGGTGAATGTCCGTTTCGTACAAATTATTGGCGCTGTTGGACGATGGTTTAACTGAAGCCGGCTGCTCTGTATGACTGTATGTATGCTTTTCTTGTGCACCATTATGATGGGAACTTCTGAATGTCTCTACTGCTGTGTTTTCATAGATCTGAGAATCACCATCTCCATTCTGTTAAGAAAGAATTAACAAAAATTAAATAGTGTACTTCTTTCATTATACAACAAAATACAAATACAAATAAAGTTGCACCATGATAATGAAAGGTTTCACTGATGCCCAATGACTAGTATTTGTTTTGTCTTCATATTCAGAAAAAAATATTCTTGGTGAATGAGGACAAACTGTTCAATTTTAATTTGTATCACAAATAGTAATTAATTGCTGTAAAATAAACAATTTATCTACATCAGCTAATACAAACTGTACAGCACACTGTGTACCTTGCTTACTCAAGAATTCTTTAACATTAACAAAGGAAAAATGCTTCACAAACACATGTATATAAATGCATACTCTAATTACAGTACATTATAATTACCCCATTTCCCTCTTTCAAGGAATGAGGGCACCATCAGTCCAGAATAACATGAAAATATAGCTAAAGCTGGTTACATGTATCAAGTATATACAAATATCATTCATCCACTCATTCATAATATACACCGCCTAACCACTTGGGCTGGACGGTAGAACGTCGGTCTCTCTACGTGCAAGTTGGCGTTCAATCCCCAACCGCCCAAGTGGTTGGGAATCATTCCTTCCCCCCTCCCCCCCCGTCGCATCCCATATCCTTATCCTGACCCCCTTCCAAGTGCTATAATAGTTGTAATGGCTTGGCACTTTCCCCTGATAGTTCCCTTCCCTTCATAATATATACCATAGGTAAACAAGCACCACCAAATTTCAGTTGTCATCCAGAGTAACATTTCCCCACTTTACGAGGTCAGGTGTACAGTGTTCCTTGTAAATTGTTGAAAGTATACAAATACATCTACTCATTTCTAACTCATTTCCTCTCAGCCTTGTGCCTTACCATATCCCATGCACTGTTCAAACTCGCTCCCCAATTTCTTCAAACACTCGCCACATCCACCCACATTATAACTGGCCTTCCTATACTCTTACCCGTTCTCTTCTGCTAAATTCTCCTATTATTGCATTTTTTATCGAATACATGCAGTGTATATTATTACACACACTGCATGTATTAATCAAGCTTGCAGTGTATTAATATTAATAAAACAATTAAATCGTGTGGTGTACTTTATGCCTTAAAAAAGTATATTACTCTGAAAATCTTATCAGTTGGTATACAAAATATTACTGTTGTTTTTTATAATTGCAATGGCTTAGTGCTTTCTCCTGACAATTAACTTAATGTCACCAGTCTACCCTCACAAATTCACAAAGCCATGCCAGAACCATCTTGATACCATCTTCCTTAAACTTGCAAATTTATGGACTTAGTGCACTGCCTCTCCATGACATTCTCACGCCTTACTTGACTGTCTTATATATTATTTTTTTTTTTTTTTTTTTTTTTTTTGAGATATATACAAGAGTTGTTACATTCTTGTACAGCCACTAGTACGCGTAGCGTTTCGGGCAAGTCCTTAATCCTATGGTCCCTGGAATACGATCCCCTGCCGCGAAGAATCGTTTTTTCATCCAAGTACACATTTTACTGTTGCGTTAAACAGAGGCTACAGTTAAGGAATTGCGCCCAGTAAATCCTCCCCGGCCAGGATACGAACCCATGACATAGCGCTCGCGGAACGCCAGGCGAGTGTCTTACCACTACACCACGGAGACTGCGTCCTGTGAGACTATAACATCACACTGTTACTTACATCATGCTATTCATTTTCCCCACTAATACTAAATCATCATTTAAAAGCTGTGCACAGGAGCTAGCACTCACATTTTTTCGTGCTGTCTGATTCTATTTCAATCTTGTTTTTCAAACCAGTAAATCCCTGGTTTGAAAAACCTGAAAAAATAGAATCACTTCAGTGATCACTTTCTTCCCAGACAGACAGATCTTTCAGCTGCAACTGCACAAATCCCACTTTAAATGATCACACAGTCCAGGTTTTTAAACTGATCAGTCACTTCTAAAAGAAACGTAATAGCCAATTACACACACACACACACACACATGGTATAAAAGATTTTTTTACATAATAGTTCCAAGACAACTGTACCAAAGACTAATACAAAAAGGCTATACAAATAATAATTGAACCTACAGTGAAGTTTGAGGGAACTTGGAATGTCACAGAATCCTTTTGATGTGGTGAGGTTTGGTGTAAGGAACTTGAAGATGGGGGACTTTGGTTTAAGGAAGACTGTTGTGGTTGTGGTGGTGGTGGAGAGGGTTGAGAGGAGATTTGATGATTAGTCTGACTGCTGTTTGCATTGTTAACTGGAGGTTCAAAATGGGAGACGCTAGGGTATGCATCCTGTGGACACGTCTCCCACTCATCTTGGGCTGTAGTATCCTCATCCTCTGATGCTGGTCGAACTGGCAGCCCATCCCGTAGCAAGTTCCTCACAAAGCCAGAATTAACTTCCTGATGATAATATTCTAATTCAAAAAGATGCCAGCTTCTTTCAAAAGCCAAAGTTAAACAAGAGAAGGTTTAAAACAAATTCAAATGCAAGACAAAACCAATGCTAAGTAAAATATTGATAAAACAAGCATTACTTATTCATGCAAATAAAATGCAAAATAAAACTTGTCAAAAGTCAATCCATTTATAGATACTGTTCACCATTAAATCTACATAATAAACAAACCATGGCAACAGCTTTTCAAAGAGAGCATTAAAATCTAGCATTTGTATATTCATAAAAAAAAATTGCAAGTCTACATAAAATCTCCATAATTAAATATGATTCAAAGTAAAATGTATTAACAAATACCACGCAAGGTAAACATATAACACTATAAGCTCTATTGTTAATGGGTTGATTGAAGATTCTGACGTTTGGTTTAGAGCTGTTATCCTAAATAATATGCTTTATGCTTGGTAATATATAGGGAAATTCCAAAGCACTCAATCCTCACAAAAATATAAACAACTAATAACTAAGTTTATATCAAGTTATGAGCATTATACATTAAATTAAATTAATTTTATTAATATACTCTACTTGAGGGAAAAGGAAAATTATTCCAGTCAACTTAATTATTTGCATGCTGTAAACTTAGTAAATAATTTGTGATATAAATTGAAAACTATTAAAATAATTAATGTTTGAATTTATGGGTTTGTATGAAGTAGATGTGCCCACTTCTACTTACAGGTCAGTCATAACTTAGTATGACATGCGCATCAATTCTCAAGAAAAACTTTTAAGTATTGACTAAGGAAATAATTTACCAGGTAGTTTAGGTACACCAACAAAAAACAAAAAATAGTGAAAATCAACAAAGGTAAAATTCATCATACATGCCATATTATATACAAAAATTGACATCTAATAATAACTTTGCAGTAAAGCAAAACACACGAAGATGCAAGTTCTAACCGGCTGCGGGTGTAAAGACTCTGGGGCTTGCTTGGCGGGCGGCGCTGGAGGTGATGACTGAGGGGGTATTGTATCCAGGACTGGGGTGCGGGTATTTGATGATGCAAACGCATGTGACACCAAATCGCCTACAAAGAGGCACAGTCATTAGGCTTGGTCTTGAAAATAAAATGGTCACACACAAAATGTGATGAGTAATTCAGAACTAGAGATGTAATGATGTATCAGTGCTGGCAAGTCCTGTTTATTTTGTGCAATATCAATATCAGAAAAGTACCTGCCTATAGTGCTAATATTTAAAAAAAAAAGAGCGTTGAATGTAATGAAATGCCATTTTCTGGGTGAGTCCCGGAGGCTCCCCGGAGCTATCCAGGCTGAATGGCTATGTACAACTTTCTGGCATCAAAGTGCTTGGAGTTCTTGCCTACCGGGGACCACGAGCCAGAACCTGGCCCCCCATCAGAGAGGCACGAGGAGCAATGGTCTATAGAAACCCCCCTCCCCTGTGGTTGGGTGCATTCTATGTCTGTCATCGACCGAGATAGGCACCCAGAAAGGAAGGCGCTCCAAAACAAACCCCTATTCTGGTGAAAATATTGCTACCGAAAACCGAATGAGTGGACAGAACTCCCCAAACAAAATTATCAAACTAGCATGACGTCATCACGTCTGAGCAACCCCCCTCCCTACCCAGGAGGGGGAAGGGGAAGCCCCAGACCATACGTGCCGGCGATCCAACTGGCAGTTCTTAGGCTGGATGTAAAAATACGCAAAAAAACACTGCCAGCCAGGAGGGAGGGATGGCGGGAGCCTCCAGGACTCGCCTAAAAAATGCCATTTCATTGCATTCAACACGTTTTCTGGGGGAAGCCCCGTCGGCTCCCCGAAGCTACCTCACCACAGATAAGGAAAATAAGGAAGGATCCGGGAGGCGGATGCCACGCGCCCTAACCTAAAAAACCCAGCGCACAAACGAAACAAGACCCAGAAGACCGGAACCCCAGAACAGGAATGAGGGAAGAAAAGGAACGCGGTCAACCAAAACTCGTCCAAGACCCCAGAGGCCAAGACGTGCAGAGAACAGCGAAAAATCATAACCGAACAAAGGAAGAACCCCCGGCCTGACCAACCAAGCAGAAACCCAAGGACCAAAACTAGGAGACGAAAGAAAATAGACCACCCGGGCCAACGACCAGGATGGCACTGGAAACACAAGAGCAGGCCGGAGGCGAAACAACGCCCAAGACAGCAAGCGGAACGGAGCAGAAGGAACAGCAACACCGAACGCAAGCTGGAGCGGCTCCGCCAGCACCACCCAAGATGAGGCAACAGTACACTGACCCAGACGACGGTCCCGGCACAACCCTGAAGGGAAGACGAGCCAACCCTATCAGAGACTGAAGGACCCTTCGTAGTGATAGGAAAACAGAAAGGACTGCCAGGAAAACAACACACCGCCCGAGACGAAGCACGCAGGTGGGAGACCAACAATGAAGCCTCCAGTGCCCACACCACAAGCGACGAGAACTAGACAAAAAACCAGAGACGCGAAAACGCGAGGGGAAGAACGAACCGGCCCTGTACAGAGCTGGACCGATACACAAAGAGGTGGAGCCGCGGTAAAACCCACAGGACCGGAAAACAGTACAGCAGCAGGTCTCGCCAAGGCAGGCAAAACTGAAAGGAACAGCAGCCAAGGAAACAAGGTACCCAATCCCACCGAGCCAAAAAGGAACCAACCCGGGCGAGCAGAAAACGCCCCGTCCGGGAGGAACCTCCCTTCCCCCCCTTCCCAGGACCCTTGAAGGACCAACAAGGCCAAACACCAAAGAGCCAGGGCCCAGGCAGAGGCCAACGAGAAAAAACGAGCACCACAAACGAAAGCGCAAGACACAAAGCGAAAAACAGCGATCCCGCAACCCAAAGGATCAGCGCAACCAGCTCCAGCAGGGAAGAACAATGCACATGTCCCCGAGGTATCCAGGAGGAGAACTGCGCAGGACGCGAACCGCAGGGAAACAAAAACACACGTTCCAGAAAAGGAACAAAAATGACGGAGCCAGGACATGAATCCCAGCGATCCGTCCCAAGAAAAGGAACCAGTAGAGCAGGAGCGGTGGACCGAAAGGCCACAACCACCACAGACAGCGCAACACAGAAGCCTGCAGTGAGATATAAAGAAAGAGTGAAGAAACTCGATACCAAAACAGAACACCGGGGTAGTTCAAAAGCAGGGAACTGAACATGGACAGAGGCCCACCCTCTGTGGGCCAACAGTGTACACCCAACATCTGTGTAGCCAATAAGCACTGACCCAGATACACAGTCAAGTGTAGCATAGGAGGAAAAGCAGAAATAGGCAAGGAAAAACCCTGAATAAGGACCAAGTAGCAGCCGGCAACACAATGTACACGACCCACCACCAAGCGTTTAGTGGAGAGTGCACATACACCGAGGGACACCATGGGTATTAGGGTGCAGCCAGGCACTGAAGAAAGGCAAGGAATGAGTATCCAGAGATCAGAGACCAAGCAATGAAGGAGGACACAAACAAGGACCGAGGGAACGAAAGTGTCCACACATAGGGAAAAGACCCAGGTGCCGAAAAACGAAATAAAAGGCACTGCCCCACAGGTCAACGACACCCAACACCCCGGGAGGAGCCATCGACGCAACCCTGCCAAGCGGGAAAGTGACAGAGCAAACAAGGATAGTGTAATGATCAAGGGTGGAACATGCACAAGGGGACACAGGAGGAAGCCGAGTACCCAATGAGCCACAGACATTAAAAAGAACCTGAGCAATGTCAGTCAGAGGAGGTAGGAAATGGAATGCACTAGGAAACGATGCGGAAGAGGCAGACTCCACACACAGGAGCAATGCAGAGAAAATAGAGCCCAGTAGGCTCTAGAAACTGCACACCCTCCAAACGACAGTTGAGAGGCGGGACCAAAGAGCCAGAGCTCAACCCCCGCAAGCACAACTAGGCAAATACCCCACCAAAAGTCGGGAACCAGCACCTGGCCGACAGAGTCACCAGACAGGACAACCTCACCTGCAGAGCGGAGACACGACCGTGCCACAACACAGTCGATCAGAGTAACATACCAGGAGCACCGTTAGTGGTTCGCCCAAAACCCCATGCGTACTAGAGGCTGTAGGCATTGTATGTACTGTTACCTGAATAAAAGGTTGAAGTCGAAGGTGAAATAAGTCCAGAGGTGCACGCCCAGCAGAAGACGAGGTGCAGTACAGAGGTGGAGGTGGCGCCACGCTGAGCCACCCCACACCTGGAAGCAGAGAAAAGAACGAAGTGACGTCCCCATATATAAAATCCAGAACACCCACAGCATTTAGAGGGCTATGACTGGAGAGTGAAAACGAGCAAGAAGTCGTAGAAAACCGCGATGAACGATGCATAACACACGAGTACACCACCCAGAAACAAAACGAACACCCGAACCCCAGCGCGCAAGGTATGAACCGCACCACCCATCCACTGGGTGGCGCGGCTCGTACACCAGGTGGACATACACATATCGTACATACACATAACACACAGACACATTGTATACACATATCATACAAACATCAGGAAGGCGTACGCAACGAATAACGTTCCAATAATAATGGAAGGTACGAAGAGGTTCACGAACCAACGAGAACCACAACAAGCAAGCACAAATGCATGGAGGTACATATGAACAAAAAGACACCCCTAATCAAGGGACACACAGGTACCCAGATACGAAGGAAACAGTATCATGATGTAAGCATGAAAAGGGTAAGGAAAGGGGGAAAATACTGGGTGGTGAGGAAGGAGGAAAGGGGGGCGAGGAAATACACCCCCAGGAATGATGGGACCAACGGACCCGAACCCAGGGAGGGGTAGACCCGAAACCAACACGAACGCAGAGGGGGAAGGAGCAACCCCACTCTGAGGAACTGCCAGGCTCGCACCGAGGGGTACAAAGACCCAAGCGGGGCAAAACGGGGCCGAGGCCTCCCCAAACTCCGGGAACTCTACGGCAAGACCGGGGCCGAGCCACACCCCCAAAGCCCCAGCTTCACAAGGAAAAGCCGGGGCAGCCGTACTAACACTAAGGAAAGGAGCCCACTGGTCAGACCCATACGGCATGGCTGGAGAAACAGACTCGAATGCCTCCGCTGCCACCCCGGAAGAGGAAAACCCCCGAGACCGCCCGAGTCTCGACCCAACCAGACCCTGCTCCAACCCCGAAACCCGCCTACGGTTTGGAGCCGGAAGCAAGGGAGGAAGTGTGCACAACAGAAGGGGAAGGACGAGGAGCGGAAGGAGCCAGAACCGAAGCGACCCCCACCCCCAAAAACCAGAGCCAGAGGCCCTCGACCAGCCAGTAATTCCATCAGCCAAGAACTGCCAGTTGGATCGCCAGTTCGCAGATGGCTGTGCGGCGACGTGATGACGTCATGCTAGTTTGATAATTTTGTTTGGGAAGTTCTGTCCACTCGTTCGGTTTTTGGTAGCAATGTTTTCACTAGAATAGAGGTTTGTTTTGGGGCGCCTACCTTTCTGGGTGCCTATCCCGGTCGATAGCAGACATAGAATGCTCTGAACCACAGGGGAGGGGGGTTCTATAGGCCATTGCTCCTCGTGCCTCTCTGAGGGGAGCAGGGTCTGGCTCGTGGTCCCCGGTAGGCAAGAACTCCAAGCACTTTGACTGATGCCATAAAATTATACATATCCAATCAGCCTGGATAGCTCCAGGGAGCCGACGGGGCTCCCCCCAGAAAATGTACTTAACCACTCCAACGTCTAAAAATAAGACTATGTTTTAAAACATTTAAGGTCCCTATGATTTCTAGCATCATGAATTTGTAAAAAGTTAATACTTAAGACAAAATATAGTAATTTTAACTACTGTAATTACTCCACCTGTGGTTACCTACATGTGAGTAGACAAATATTAAGGTAAAATGTGTGTAAGCTTAGCAATCTTAAACACGAAATGTCTATGGAAAATACCACCATGGAAGCCTCTAACACTGTTCATCTATGCTATTTGTATCAGGTGCATCATCACTGAACGGAGAAAATGATTCATCTATGTATCATCTAAATAAATTGTAGATAGCATAGGATTGCAAGGGTGATGCTCAGAGCTACAACTGGATACGCTCACCGTATCGTCCTCATAGGTGCTGTATCACTTGCATCCGACCTTTGTGTTAGGTCTTTATTGTGCCTAATTTCACCAACATTATGACCCTTATGTTCTTCAAACAATAAGGTTTGAATTTCAGTGACAGAGCATTATCTTTCAACACTGCGTCGGACAGGTGTTTGGGAGCCAGAGGCGTGTGCGCCACCCATGGTTGTTCATTCAGTACTAACCCAGCCAGCAACCCTAGGGCATTCTGGGAATTTTTTCCAAGATGGCTGCCCCTCACTGGAGGTCCTAAGAGTCCATTTCGTACACAACCAACCTCGTACATATTTAGAATTGGTACCGGAAAAAAAAAAAAAAAAAAAGTTTTCTCGGTTGGCACAGTTTCCCGCCGACCGAGAATACTCGGTTGGCGCAGTTAAGTGGTTAAGGGGCCCGGTGACGGAGGACTTTTTCAATGTGAAATTAGTGAAAATTTTTAAACAAATCGTCCATTATTTGGCATCAGTGTCGTGAAAATTTCATTCTAATATGTTAAGAAATGGACTTTTTTTTTTAATTTTAAAAAAAATAAATGCATGCGCGACGGGCGGCAACAGGTACTGATAACGATAACAACACCTATTTACTGGCAATCAAGGATAAAGAGATGCAAGCACCTGTCCGACACACAAAGAAGACAAGTAGTAGTAAGGAAGGTCTACAAAGTGGATATGCAGCTGGTGCCACCTGGAGGGCCAGATTTCATTCATAATAATGAGTTAGTACGTTATTATGCTGTATTATATTATATATATCATATAAATACATTGCCCAATGGCAATATTTCTTGTCTCTTTGTACAAAAACCTGAAAACTGCTTTATATATTTTTTAGTTTTTCTTCCATTTTTTCTCTCGTGTTTATATGCAAATTCTTATGTGGCCAACATTTTGGAGAAAGCGTATCCGGCACTAAGCGTGTGAAGTTGGAACGAAATTGGTCAACATGTTACTCAGCCACAGGTGGCAGAAGATGTGACTTTTCTTTTTCTTTTTGGATGATTTATTTACAGATTTCAAACTCTATTCTCTTTGTCTATTTTGGTTGTATTGATGAACGAGGACCAGATGAGGGCCTTATTACTTATAAATGATCAATAAAGTTATTGCAATATATATATATATATATATGTTTCGTTATAAGAACATAAGAATTGAGGGTAACTATAGAAGGCCTATTGGCCCACATGTGGCAGCTCCTATTTATATCCATCCACTCTCATTCATATATGTCTAACCTAGGGCGCCTTTTTTTTTTTTTTTTTTGCAGGGATATTCCTGTGCGGGCCCTAAGCCTCTGGCTAGCCCACTAATCAGACAGCTGGGTGGACAGCACTTCGGATTCGTAGTCCTAAGGTTCCGGGTTCGATCCCCAGTGGAGGTGGAGACAAATGGGCGAAATGTTTCTTTCACCCTGATGCCCCTGTTACCTAGCAGTAAACAGGTACCTGGGAGTTTGACAGCTGCTACGGGCTGCTTCCTGGGGATGTGTAACAAAAAGGAGGACTGGTCGAGGACTGGGCCGCTGGGACGTTAAGCCCCGAAATCATCTCAAGATAACCTGTTTTACAGTTATCCCTAACGTATTCCTATACATTTTTTTTTGGGGGGGGGGGGGGGGGTATTTTTCTTGACTTTACTTCAACACATACTGACCTTCAACTTTCACATATTCGAGTATGAATGCCAAGCAATGTTTATTAAAACATACAAGAAAATTAATTAATTAGAACTACCATATTCATTGTCAATAACTACAACCTTCTCTAAAACAGAAATTTTAACTTTGAGACCTGATAAAAACTTAAGTTTCTGACCGATTCTCACCATTTTTACATATGTGCAAGGTTCTTAGTTCTATAACAATCTCTGTGTCGTTTAGTCATAAAGCCATAATGTTTGGAGTTATAAATTTCTTACGTATAAATTTGGCACATATTTTGATGGCCACATTGAACAAATGTTTTACAGTATACTATACTCTCAAACCATATTTTTATCAAAGACTCATGAACATTATGTGCCATTCTGAGACAACTGTTAAATTAATAAAATAACAACTGGTACATTTAAAGATTTTTATCACTAATTTAATATTGTGAACTTTTTTCTATTTTTTGTAATTTTTTTCTTTTCATGGTATGATGTTGATCCATTAGGAAAAATTAGAGCATTTACCATTTAGATTATTCACAAAAAAAAAAAAAAAAAAAAAAAAAAAAAAAGGTGTGTTTGAGGCAGTTTTGGTGCACCATCACCGGGCCCCTTAAAGAACAGGATGTGAGCCCCATGCATCCATGGGAGTTTTTAATCATACACCATACCTAAAACAACCCTGACTGTGGTGTGCACCATGGATGAAACAACCCCAGTTGTGATGCCCAGTTGAAAAGTTATGAAAATATTAAACTTTTATACTACAATTCATCAGTGGTTTGAATGATTTTGTGATGGTTTGTTGGGGTAAAAAGTGGTTTTCCCTATTGTGTGAACACTGCCTTTATGAAAAATTTTGATCAAATGTTTGTAGACAAAAACTCAATTTATCATTACACACTATAGCATATCAATGTGTGTGTGGGGATGAGTCATTAGCTGCTCTAGTCTACCTATAAGATTTATGAATACAAAATTGACAAGAAAAGGTTAAGTTTATTGTCAAGTTGACAAGAAAAGTGTTACTCTGCATCACAGTTTTCCCCCACTTATTCTCGTTCATCAAAGGATTTGGTGTATGTGCCTCTGCTGTGTGTGGACACGCCTGCTTGCAATGCTAAGCATTGGTGAGAATATTTAGTGACGTACCTCTGCTCTGTGTGGGTGTGACTGGTTGCTGTGGACGATCTGATGAGACTGGAGGCCAGCGAGCAGCTACCCCTCTACTCGGCGCTGAGGGACTATTTTCCTTTCCCTCTTCTCTGCTAAAATAAAAATAATAGTTGAAAATTTTATTTTATATTATATACATATTTTTTGTTGAACAGAACATAAAGTGTTGACAATGATAAACATCAGATTGAAGGTTGACTTTACTGAAGATTTGTCAGCAAGGGTAAATTAAAGACTTCAATAAAGTCTACTCCTAAATTAGTGTTGCATTACATTATGTAACTTTGCAAAATATGACCCCTTTCTCATTCGAAATTTTATTAATACTATTTTGCCCAGCATTATTATTCATGTTTGCATTCTTTTTGCCTTTACATATTTGTGGCTTTATATTAGTTATTTATTATTGTACTAGACTTTTCTCTCTCATTCCCATATATAAAATAGAGAATGCAAGCCTTTTATCTTCCTCATGCTCCTCTTTTCACACTGCTGGAGCATCATTACTCCATGTGTGCTAAAAACACAAAAGCTGTTCACTAGGTAAAACCTTCACCTCCCTTCACATTGGCATCTTATACAAAAGGCTTTTACCAAACACTCCTACCACACCATTTTCCAATTCCTACACAAATTTCAAACTTAAAAACCCAGCCATTTATGCAATGAAACACCTCTATTTAGAAGAGGCCTGGTGGTTCCCTGTAGTGATCTCGCAGAGACTGCTTCAATCTATCAAGTTACATCAGCTGCACGAGTCCATTTGGCTAACCAGTGGCCAGAGCCAAAACCTAGCCCCCATCACAAAAGGAACAGCGAGTAAATGACATTCTGCCATTTCACCGGGAAAGCATCCAGAAAGTCAGCCAAACTTTACAGGCAACTGCTAGGTTCACATAACTCAAAAGCCACTAAACTGCCAAATAACTCCTCAAACAATCTATATAAATAAAAGTGTAAATGTTCGTTTTGTTCAAAATCATTAATCTCTAAAAGTTCTTCACCGATTGCTTTGAAATTTTGAAACACCTTTGCATGCAAATACGCGCGCATTTTTATATACCTACTATATAGATGTCAAACCTGTGACAGGTAAAACAATTTTTTTTTTTTTAACTATTTTTCATGTGAGGGAATGGTGTGGAGGACGAGGGGACATGGATGTGGGGGATGGTGGGGGAGGACAAGGGGACGGGGTAGTGGGAAATGGTGGGGAAAGGGGGGGGGGGAGGATGGGGAAGTGAGGGATGGTGGGGAAAGGGAGGGATGGGGGAGTGGGGGATGGTGGGGAGGACGAGGGGACGGGAGAATTGTGGGGGAGGACGAGGGGACAGGGAAATGGTGTGGAGGACAAGGAGGCGGGGGAGTGGGGGATGATAGGGAGGACAAGGGGACGGGGGAGTAGGGAATGGATGAATTATTTGAATTAAAATAAACAAAACAAAACAAACAAATCTAGCTAGAACTCGTCAGTACCGAGTACAGTACTGCTACCGGCCAGCCTGTAATTCAGTCCAGCTTCAGTCATCAGATCAGATCAGGAGCAGAAAAACACCACAATGAACTGACAAATATGGAAGGGAGGGAAATATTGGTACTCTGCCAAAAAGAGGCATTTCACTACATTCAATGTTGGGTTACTGGTGGAGCCCCATAGTGGTTCCCTAGAACCAAATAATCACAGAAAAAAAGAATGGGGGGAACTTACCAGAGGAGGAGAGGCAGCAAGCACTAACCACTGGCTAGGAAACATGACATTAACTAAATACCTGGTTGCAAAACCCCAATCCCAAATATCTGCCCAAGACATATTAAACAACTAAATCACACACCAGAAGATGAAGAGACAACGATGTTTCGGTCCATTCTAGACCAAGTCAATTATGATGGGAGCAAGGGAGGCACAGGCATTAAGGCAAGAGAGGTGAGGAGGAAATTCCTAGAGGAAGGTAAGAGCAAGGCAAAAGGTACGGATGGGATGGGTGCAATAATGGGGTGAAAGAAGGAGATGTCCAAAATTAAGCCACAGGCTCCACTCCTGGTGGTGCCCTTCCGCCAATTCCTTAAAGTTTCAGCTTTGCGACCATACTTTCCCCAGAACCCATAGATGTTGGTTTCCCGGAAGCTGCCCAGAAGTTATTTTTTACACTCCCAAACAAGAGTTAAATAACATTGTTTTATTCCAAGCTGTAACTCAAAGAATTACTAAAATTTATAATTATAAAATTCATACCTCATTGGACTGTTGACAGGTTTGAATTCTTTTAGACGACGTGGAGGTGGACGGTTTTTATCTGTTGCTTGCTTAGAATTACTGATACCAGATTCAAACAAATCTCGTGTAGAATGAGTCCGATGGCCAATGAGAGCTTCTGCTTCCTAACAAGTGAATTAAAAAATTAATTAAATCAATTCTTTGTAATATAAATTGTCATCTTATATATTTTGCACATTAATTTGTTGAATGATGTAACACTTAAAAATATATATACAGGGTCTACCTACACTTTGTGCTTGGCCAGTCATTGTGAACATATAATCCTCCAACTCCACCACAACTTTTCCTAGCAACTCTAAATTTACTTAAATAGAACAAGGCCAAGCTGAAAAACAGCAACTGACTTTATACAGCTTTTTATATTATTCCTTAAATGCAATGAGAATTATGAATTTAATTTACTCTTAAATCAATAGAGAAACTAGTAACTAATATATATTGCTTCATGAATATATTAACTGTTTTGAGCATAACACTTGTAACAAAGCTCATATATACCAATGTGCAAAGTTACAATTAATCACAATAAAAAATAATACCCTCATAAGGTTGCACGCAGAGCCACAAAGATTTTACAGGAAAGAGATGGTTGTGGGTTGACTGCATCTATCTGGACCTAAACAAGGCTATCGACAGAATTCCATATACAGAGTTTGTTCTGGAAACTGCAGCATATTGGAGGAGTGACAGGAAGGCTTTTAACATGGATGAAAAATTTTCTAACTGGCAGAAAAATGAAGGCAGTAATCAGAGGCAATGTATCGGACTGGAGAAATGTCACGAGTCACTGACAGAAATGTCACTGAACCCTGCACCACAGGGTTCAGTTCTTGCACAGGTAATGTTCATTGTCTAAATGACCTACCAAATGGAATTCAGAATTATATGAACATGTTTGCTGATGATGCTAAGATACTAGAGAAGATGAGAAATTTAAATGATTGTCATGCCCTTCAAAAAGACCTGGACAAAGTAAGTGTGTGGAGCACCACTTGGCAAATGGAATTTAATGTGAATTATTGCCATGTTATGGAATGTGGGATAGGAGGACATAGACCACACATCCTGAAATTATGTGAAAAATTATGTGAAAAAAATTATGATAAAGAAGGGATCTGGGGGATGTTCTAGATAAAAAAATATCACCTGAGGACTACATAAAGAACATCATGCCAGGAGCATTTGCTACCCTTTCCAATTTCAGAATTGCTTTTAAATACATGGATGGTGAAATAATAAAGAAATTGTTCACGACTTTTGTTGTGCAGCAGTTGTATGGTGCCCATATCCTAAGAAAAACATCAACAAACTGGAAAAGGTGCAAAGACATGCAACTAAATGGCTCCCAGAACTAAAAAACAAGAGATATGAGGAGAGGTTAGAGGCATTAAATCTGCCAAAACTAGAAGATATAAGAAAAGAGGTGATATGATCATTACGTACAAAATAGTAACGGAAATCGACAAAATTGACAGGGAAGAATTTCTGAGACCTAGAACTTTACAAACACAAGGTCACAGATTTAAACTAAGCAAAGCTGCCGAGAAATATAAAACAATTAATTTTAGTGGTAGTCGGTTGGAACAAGTTAGGCGAGATGGTGGGGGGGGGGGGGGGGGGGATGTCAAAACTGTCAGTAGTAATATGACAGAGTGAGAAGATGGGACAGAAGATGGGACTCTCATCCTGTAACTGCAATTAGGCAATTACACTTTGGTATTTTTACCCAAGTAATTACCTTTCTCCTTTTATACTACATATCGTTTAAAATAAATATCTTCTCCTTGTGAACACATACTGTACTTAATTTTAGCACAATCAGTTACCAACTTTTTTCCGCTCCAAACGCATCATCTCGGCACGCCTGGCTCGCTCAGCTTCATCATTATGCTGACTCTCAAGTTCCTGTTGCCATTTACTGTCCTGCCGAGCAGCAACACGATGGGCTGCTTCATCTTCAGCTTTCCTCTCGGCAATAATGCGCGCATTTCTTTCTTTGGTTAATTGTTCACGATGTTGAGCATCAATGATCTGAAAATGGTACATATATATATATAATGACTAAATTACCCAATAATAGTTGGATAATTTTTTTAATATTTCTTTTAAAAACACTTATTACGAAGTAATTGTACTGTAATATGTAGTTACACAACATTAGGTTTTGTGACTAACATCAATCCTCTCTCAATTTTAATTTAAGCACTACGAGTCAAGGAAATTTGTGCATTCCAGATAATTTATATACAAATTTTTATTGATATCTAATTGGAGAAATAACAGAATATTGCATGAATTATTATTGATCTTTAATATTTGGAGAAGTTGTGATTTTAGCCAATAACATTATACAAGAACCAACTTCAATAGAAGCAAACAAAAATTGTAGCATGAAAGGTAATAGGCAAGGAAGAAGAGTGGGAAAAGGAGAGCAGTAGCAATAAGCTAGCAGAAAATTAAAGACACCCCCCTCACAGTGTTCAAAAGGGAGAGAGAGAACTTGATAAGCACCTCCAAAGGATACCTGATCAACCATCATACATCAGACTGCGAGAAGCCGTGTCCAACAGCCTGGTTGACCAGTCCATCAACGAGGAGGCCTGATTGAACACCAAGCCGTGGGGATGCTAAGCCCCTAAATCATCTCAAAGTAACCTCAAGGTAATCAGTAGCAGGTAATCAGTAGCAGGAAAGGAGAAGGAAGAGAATGATGACAAAAGAGAGAGGTGGATAAGGAGAGAATGATTAATGAATGGCAAGACAAGAACTGAGAAAAGGAAGAAGGAAGATTCAGAGAAAATAAGAGGAGACAATGGCAGATGAGAGGACCCGGAAAGAACAGACAATACAAGGCCCTTGTAATCTGTTATGTTTATTTGCTGAGACAGCCAGAACCAAACTATGGTCCCTGAAAAGGCTACAGATAAGATCAGGATACAAAAATTAAAAGCTATCTGCCTTTGATGACGCTACCACAGAACTTGGAAAGATGCAGGAACCCCTCAATTTTTTGTAGCCGACATACGAGAAGTAAGGGCGCAACATCAGAACGGTAAACTTTTGGTTTTACATATGAATATGTTCCTTGCCATCTTGGGTAAAGGCAAACTGTCCCTTCATTTTCATTTTTTTATCCTTAGGAAAAAAGAGCTTCTGTTCCAGGACAATGAAGTTTGCTAAAATAAATAATACAAATATTATCTGTACTCTACTGAGGGATAATCTTTACTAACAATACACTGTCAAGTCCAAACACTTCGCTGACTTCAGTACATCCACTATTTTATTTTGAGTCTAACACTGACCAAGACCAAGATTACAATTGGCCTTGCCATACAGACTCGCTGACCTGGAAACACTAAATCTCTAACTAGCACCGATTGAATGCCTGCATAGCTACTGTACAAGATAAAATCGTAGAATATATGAAAAATCACCATTTGATGGATCCCATCAGTAACTTTACTTGGATTAAAGAAATCATATGATGCTCTCCATGTAGTAATTTAAGGGTTTTTGTGTATTGTTAATAAAATTTAAATGTTACAGTATAAAATACTGTACTCACAATTTTTATTAAATAAAATTTTGGTCTAGCAATTTAATGTTAACATCTTGGTTTTTCACAAGAACCTCAACCAAATTTTATTACGATCAAACCAAATTGACCAAATTATGAAAACAAAAATTGGCTGCAATACAATATTTTACTTGTTACAGAGTTTTGCTGGTACTACTGTATTGCAATACAGGTGATTTCACAATAACAATTTGTTTAATAAAAAAAATGAAAGATTAATCTTACCATATTTACAAAGACGAACTTACATGATTGATTAGCAATTGGATCAACCCATCCTCTTACAAATTACGTCCCTTTTTGCTCGTGTGCACACTCCGGCTAAAAATCGACTAAATTCAAAATGGAATCGGCTTGCGAAAGTGACGTACTGTCCCGTTTTCTGTTTTGGGTCATATGGCTTAGGTTTCATGACGTTTTGAAACCTTAGGAGAACTTCCTGCCCTTCAAACCTACCAGAGGACCCTTAACTTGCTGTATTGGAAAAATAAATTCCAAAATTTAATTGGAAAATAAATTTTCATTTTGAATTACAGTACCTCGATATTTGTGAAAAGCGACGTAATTTGTAAGAGGATGGGTTGTTTGGATGGGCATTATTTTTTAACATACTCTACCTCTCCTATAGGTACTTCTACCTCAGAGGTAGAGCAGCTACCTCTCCTTCTCTTGTAACATCCTGGCTGATGCCTCCAGTGAAAAGGGAAAGAGGAAAATTGGGTAATAGATATTTAAGTACCTGAAGACATTTGCCCATGAATGAAGTGATGAAAGGAATACATTAAGTGAAAACAAAAATTTAATGAAGAAAAGAGAAGATAAGAGAAATGGTCTGGAATTGGATAAGCAACAGCAAAACAATAATTGGAACATGAAGGAGGCAGAGAAAGAAAAATACAAAATAAATGCAGGCTAAAAAGCCAATGAAGAAGTAGGAGTAGTGAGAGTCATGTCACTCATATGGAAGATGTTTATCAACTCATTACAGCACTGTAAATATGGCCGCTATTGCTTCATTACCTCTCGCTGTTTACGTTCATTTTCAAGCTTTTTTAATTCTTCTTCCTTTAGGCGCTGTTCTTCAGTTTTTCTCCTCTTCTCCTCTGCTTCTTGTTCCTCCCAAAATTTATTGCGAGACTTTGAATCTATCTCGGCAAGAGGATTTGTGCGCTTGTAATTAGTACCCTGTAAATTAAGTCAAATTGTCAATAGTCGACATATCCTTAGGATGGCAAAGAAAACCATAAAGGTAAATGTAATTTATAATTTGTAATTTTTAAGGTTTATATTGGACAAGTTAAAAAAAAAAACTGAGCTAAATATTTACTTAGTACTGTATATGTAACTACAATCTACTGATGAATTACATATTACAGAGCAGCTAATGAGTGACAAAAATATCAGTATAAATAAAAACAATAAGTACATTTATCAGCTTATAACAGTGTTCCAAACATTGAAGAATACTTAACAGGATAAAAAACTTAAACACAAAGTAATTTGACTTGGCATTATAAAAAATTTAAAATAAAAGTTTAAAAAAGTGAATACAGTTATGCATAATTTTCAAACAAAAGAATGACATATTGTACAGTACAAATATTAAATTTGTGAGGTGAAAAACATAAACACTGTAAAACTTCACAGACAAACAAAAATTAGGAAAGCACTTCAGGTTTAATGGAAGTTATAATCAAGTCATGAGAGAAAAAAACAAGTCAGTTGAGATAAAATAAGAGGTTATTGGCATAACTTACCATTTCAGATTTCAATTTGGGTTTAGGCTTTTTAGAGGGAAAAATTGGGGGGCCATCACCAGAAGCTACAGCAGCACCACTAGCACCACTAGGCATCGGCTACAACACAGACAGCAAGCTTAGAGACTTTGGGTGCTGGGGCATACACCAACGTTAAATTGGAAAGGATCAAACAGGAACATGAAGGATGAGGGAGGTCAGGGAAGGACAGGAAAGGAAAAGGATGGAAGTGGTTAAGGAATATAGGTTAAGGCCACACACTGTTAGATGAAGATGCTGAGATCATGGCTGCTGCTATGTGCTACACCACACAAATATTGATGCATATGGGATCCTCCAGCATTTCAGACACCAGAGGGGAATAGGAAAATTAATGTGTGGCCTGGGAATTTGTTAGGATGAAAAATTATGCTATTTAACACCAAGACATACAGCCAGCTTAAGAATCCAGTGCCATATTAAGCTCTAATAATATCAATTAACATTTAAAAAAACCCACAAGATATACAAAAGGTTACTGAATATTACATCCATCAGTACACTTGCATTACAACTCAAACCAGTTCTAACTTGACTTGAATCTTTTGCTGCTCAGCCACCCAAATATCACACAGTCTTTAACTACTAGTGCCAAATACATTCACTTTACCTCCAGTGCATTTAAAGATTTATTGCACTGTTCACATGACAAAACACAATCATATTGATTACCTTGAAAACTTAATAGAAAATTTGCAATCATCATCATCACTGTATTATGGAAATTTTCCCACTATAATATGGGACCAGTAACCTAGGACATACTACTGTACACGCTAAATCAGTCTTTACCAAATTCATATCCTTGTTTGCACATGAATTCTTCCAACAAGCTCATCAACAGCACATAACTGTATTTTCCCTCCACACACTAATCAACTTCCACCAAACCAAGCCCCTAATAAACTTTCATTCCTTGTTTAATTAATACCCAAAATTCATACATACATTTCACAGAATCTTTCTGTAAATATTTAGCTTCCATTTATAAATAACTGCATCTTTCCAAGTATTCTGTAGCACTACAAAACAATAAGTTCAGTAACCTTTGACTAAGTATTACAATGACTACCAAGCTAGTCACACCAATATTATTACCTTACTGTACAAAAAATTGATTTAAAAATTTGTTTCACTTTGTCCACAAAAATGTTTTAATAGCCACAATTAAAAAACAGCTAAGGATACATTAATAAGTTATGTGGCATTGGATTCTTTAAAAGATCTCACAAGAGATCATTCACAATTAGCCCACAATAATAAATTAACAGGCACTTCAATATTCTCATTTTAATATACTGTATGTATCTTGAAAACATAAAACTTGCTGACAAATGCTTTTGATAATTGAAATTTAAGTGCATTAATAACTATTCAAGTGTAACCAAGTCTAATGCACGAAAAAAAAAAAGGGGAAAAGAAAAATAGTGAAGATGTCTGCAATGTGCACGGTTATACACCTACGTGATGTAGGATATTAGTACTGGCAACTCCCATGTTCAGCGTGTCATATCAACATGCAGTCTAGCAGGAGTTCAATATCCCAGTGAAATGTTAATGCAGATGAGGCTTAAAATAGGGGTTAGCATACCATTTCCCCTGAATGTGAAGAATGTGCAAATGTTAGAATTCTGCATATGCCAATCTTTAAATTTTCCACTTACTGTCTTATAAATTCAAGGACAAAAATCATTAATCTAAATGTTATTTAACAATGTCAGTTAGTGGTTGTACCACAAAACAAATCTGTCATATTAAATTAGTTTTGGGAAAACTCACCATAATGTGCCAAGAGTGGTACAGTATTGGCATAACAGAATAAGTATGTCGAGATGCATTCCTATTTAATGCTTGTCTACAAAACATATTCATGAATAGAGCTTCCAAACCTCTGTACATTCTGTTACAACATATACAAAAACAATTACGACTTTTAGCAAAGAGGAAAAGTTATCAGCAAACGCTATCTCCACATCATTGGAATTAACCCATTATGTATAAATTAATATACATTACCCAAAGTACAAGAAAATATATTTATTATAGAAGCTAGTTCCATAGTCAAATATATGACAGCAAAAAGTAATAATAATGATCATATTAAGTGCTTGAAAAGTCAATATTTTCAGAGGATACTATAAGGAACTGAGCTATAACAAGAATAAAGCATAGAGGGATGAAACTTCACATAACTATCGAGAATGACTAATTTTTGGTTATTAACGAATACAAGTTAGCGAGATTCACTCTAGAATAATTCTGGCCAAATGTTCTTTCAAAGTGCCTGCCCAATTTAATTTATTTTTATGAACATCAAAACAAAAATACTTTAAAATTAATAATATTTCTTTTGCACTTTGAAAATACTTTTACTTCCTTTCGTAACTTAGAAAACCCGCAGAAAGTTAGAAGAAAACAACGAGATGGTTGATGCATCTCACATATTGAAAGTACACTATAAAGAACTAGCTGTATCTAATGTGCTAAACTTAAGATATGGTAATGTCAAGATGCACGAAATGGTAATGCAATGCCAAAAGTATGACATAAGAGTTACGGGTTCATGAAAGGAAATGCTTTCCAATATATCGGTCACTACAATATTATTATGATTATTATACTGTAATGTGTAAATAAAAGACTAAGATAAAACAGTATCAGAGAAAGAACAGATATAAATACCTGCAGTAACAGAATAACCTACTGTAGCCACCAAAACTTCACCTCAACCCTTCTCCATCTCCCTTTCATACTCTCACCCCTTCTACTGTATTCCCCTTCTCTCCCTTCCATGCTCGCTTCATTTCAAGCACAACCCCCCTCCTTCACCCTTCTTACTCTTTCCTCATGCCTTGTCAGGTACCTTCCTATCTACTCTCATCCCATATCCTGCCACCCACTTCTCCCTTTCACATCCTCACTCCTCTTACCCTTCCTTGTCACTACCTTACCCTCATCTTTTCTCTTGCTTTTCTCATTTCCCTCCCTCACCTTACCACATTCATGCTCCCACTCTACTCCTCCATTCTTTTTTCCTCACCCTCTTGCCAGTCACATTTTTATTTCCTGTCTAATATCCTATCCCCTACCATGCCCCCCCCCTTTCTCTCTCTCCCCCTCCCTCCCCTGTCTCTCTCTCTCTTTCCCCCTCCCCTTCTCTCTCTCTCTCTCTCTCTCTCTCTCTCAATTTACAAGCAACAATTCACACATGCTTACTGCACAAATCTTCAGAAAGCATAAACTGGACATATTTATGTCCACATATATAATCTTCAGAGAATGTTAATAACACAATTAAAAATTATGTTAAAACAGTTATTAGTAACAAAACAAATAGAAAAATGAATACACAACTTCAGTTAATCAAATGGTAAAATGTTATGATTTATAATGCAGTACAATGAAACAATATTATACCTTGATCATTGTTGCCTTTATCACAAGCACAATGGTTTTAATTTGTTATGTAAATGATTCGCTACCTTTCCTCTCAAATATAATGCAGTATTAAAAAAAATTGAGATTGTTTTGATTATCTAATATTTTATATGTTACCTAATTTAATTTTTTTTAATTGAAGTCAGATGCTATCTATCTATACAAAACACTGGAAACCGGAGACTATTACTATGCAGTAGCCACCATAATCAACTCTCAACCTGGGTTCAATCCTCAGACAGGATGATATGCTTGAGCATGTTTCCTTACACCTTATGCTTCTGTTCACAAGGAAGTCAATAGGTACCTGAGAGTTACAAAACTATTGTGGGGTTGCATCCTGGGGAATTTCAGTCACATTCATTCATTTAAGGCGACCCAGACAAAGTTAACAGGTTTCCTGTCTTTACCAATAGGAATTAACTGCTTCCTGGGTTTTATAACAACTAGGCCCAATGTTATTAAAGTGTTAAAAAAAAAAAAAAAAAAAAAATTGGTTGAATGCAACAGTTTGGGTGCCTGAGGAAACTATTATGGAAATGAGCTGCACCCTACTTTGTGGTGCCAATAAAGTAGCTGCTGCAAATGCAAGAAAAATCACATGGTGGATACCAAGAACCCTTCATGCAAGTGATACCAGACCAATGGTGGAACTGTTAAGATACTAGTGTTCTCTAAGGTGGAATATTGTGTTGCATACTAACAGCACCATTCAATGCTGGAGAAGTTGCCAACCTGGAGAACTTACAGATACTTTACAACCTGAATCCATTCAATTAAACATACCAGTCAATGAATTCCATGTTGGATAATTACAGAATACAAGTGTTAAGAGCTATGTGCCCCCTCCCCCCTTCTCATTGTAAGCGAGGATGTGTGAAAAGAACGAAGACATGGTAAGAGCATACACAAGGAGTGTACCCTAGTCTCCACATAATACTGACTACAGTTTAACTAGAGTACTATTTTGTAGCTTTAGTCCCCAACTTTCATTCCAAACACGGCCTATTATAATAATCACCACCTATGATGAGTATCTACGTCATGGATTTCTTCCTTCTACATATTACTTTATTTTACTTTGTTTTTAATTTGCCTTAATTCTCTACATACATCAGAACCATCCCTCCTGAAGGTAGCTGAATTGAAGAAAATGACTTTAGTATACAAGGCTAATACCTCCTTAAATAGAATTCCAAGGCATCTAAAATGGAGAGAGAGAATAAAGAGAGAAAAGTGTGCAGTTTTGTTTATCACTTGTGATGCCAGATTCAAGCACTTGACACAGTTATATTTGTACAATATATGCATTATGTAAACTAATAATTTTTATGTACACTATTTACAAGGAAGAAAACCATTAGAATTGTGAAGGTAACAATGATCTATCATTACTTCAAAATAAAATTTAAATTTTTAATATCTTAGGATGAAATGCAGTAAACCCTTGCACTTCTTAAGAATACAGTACGTTTAGCAGTAAATGACACGTACATTGTGTTGTAAGCTTCATTTACTTACCAGATCCTTAAAACAGTGGAAGACATATTAGGACTACTGTATCAATAATATGGTCAGAAAGGTGAGAAGTGCAAACAAGCACAGCACGAGGCCTTTGCTGT